AGGGAGGACACATGGAAAATTCAATGTCCACTTCAAGCCACTGAGACTGATCTGTAAGTGCTGGAATTGGAGTAGCATATGCAGCTTTGAATCTTGCTACCGAATAATATTCATGCAGATATGGGTGCATGTTTATCTTCGGTTGGGATGCTAAGAAAAGAATGGCATGCTCACATGGTTTACCAGTGTGTTGCCACTCGAGGCAAGTGCAATCATGCAATTCAGTGTTAACAACATGTCTCCTTCCAGTTTTGTTATCTCTAACTTCAGCACCCCAAGGTGAAGATTTTTCAACAAACAAATGTGAAAGACTTCTGCTCCTATTGACCACCTGTTGTACCACTGCTGGAAGCTTATCACCTTGCAGACAATCACCTATCCTTCTTCTCAATTCCCACAACCGCATGAGCATGATCCTAATTTGGTCAACCATGTCATGCACAGGCAAATCTTTTAACTCCTTCACCTTATTGTTGAAACTCTCTGCCAAATTGTTGTTGATGTGGTCACACTTGATGGCAGTGTTGAATGCTGACTTGTACCATAACAAAGAATGGTAGGTGTTCAGCCATGGACCAAACTCATCACATGCTGCCATTATCTTATCAAGATGATATTTGTGTGTCTGTCTAGTGTAAGATCTTGCTGCTGGCCACATGCGCCCAAATTCTTCTCCTCTAAATTTTTTGATCAAATTCATCCATAAATGACCGAAGCACTCCCTCTGCTCAGCATGTGGGAAAACATTTTTCACTGAATTTTCAAGCCCCTTACATGCATCTGTGTGTATAGCCAAAGGTGACACTGGCCCTAGGCATCTTTTCAACTGGATCATGAACCATGTCCATGAAGCCTCTGTTTCTGACTGAAACAAGCCAACAACAATAGGAAACATCCAGTTGTGTCCATCTAGAGCATTGCATGCTGCCAACTGACCATTCCACTTGCCTGTCAAAAATGATGAGTCTATGCTCAAATATGGACGGCACCCTGCTTTGAAGCCATCTATGCAAGGCTTCAAAGCCATAAAAAACTTGGAGAACTTGACTTCACCTTTGGCTGATACCTCTGTATCTATCTCCACAACACTACCAGGTGACCTCTTTTCCACCTCTGCTTTGAAGTTGTAAAGCATCCTAAATGTATTTGCCCAATCACCATATAAGTTTTCCATTGTCCTTTGTTTTGCCTTCCACACTGTGGTATATTTCAGTTTAATGGGGTACATCTTTTCCAAGTCTACTTTGAGTTTCTTGGCGGTAGTGTTTGGTGTTTTGGCTAAAATTGGGGTGATCTTTTCTGCAACCCAAAGTTGTGATGTCATGGTTGATACTCTCTGTGAACTTGTAATACAAGTATGTTGATTGGTGATTTGGTTAACCCTGACAGTACTTCCATCAGGTTGCAGTCTAGCAGATATGTACCACTTGCAAGGCTTGACACTACCATCAAATCCTCTGCACCTCGCATAAAACTTCTTTCTATCAGTCCAAACAGTCTTGGCATCAAACTCATGTTTCACTGCATAAGTCTTGAAACACATCCTAAAATCCTTCATGCTTGGGAAGAACTTGCCTACTTCAATGACAGGGTTTTCTTTGTCATACACATGCACCAGCTCATCATCATGTGCATCATCTACTTCATCTGCAGCTTGTTCCATCAATTGTCCATCTACATCTTCATCAACATTAGCAGGCAAACTAGATTCTCCCCTCTCCTGCTTATCTCTGTCATCGACTGGAATGCCAAAAAGTTTGGCCATCTCAATGTCAGGCATTGGTGCAATGACCAAATCAGTAGGCTCATCTAATTCAACTACATTCCAATCAACAGTTGCTGCAGTTTCAGTTTCAATTCCAGTCACATGTCCCTCTTCGGCTATTACTGTAAGTTCAGTACACATGGGAATCAATGGCCTCTGTGTAGCCCAATCATCATCTACCATCTGCGCAGCCAATTGTGATGGCACATATCCAACCTTCGAAAAAATATTCAGATCAACCAGCTCAGCAAAAAAATTAGCTCGTTCGCTTGTCCAGCCGTTTTGCCGATCGATTTCATCAACAATCTGTTCACTATCTTCCATTCTCACATACTCTCCTTTCCAATCATCAAACCGCAACAGTGATACTTCTTGCTCTGGACCCCAAACAACATTCTCCCCAATTTTTTCTACCCCCATTTCTTCACTGCCTTCTCTTCCATGTTCTGTAGAACTTGTGGATCAATCTTTGTAAACTCAACCTCCCATTTAACAATTGTGTCTCTCTCAATGTTCTGAATGCTACCATCAACTAATTTTGCCTTTGATGGAAAGAAATTGACCGTCAATTCGAAGGTCCGAGCGGCAGCATCCCCTCTGTCAGTGGCGGACAGTGTGAGCCCGTGAGAAAGAGCAGACTAGGCCCTAATTGCATGCAAAATTGGATCAGAGAGAGGAGCATTACCTATTCGAAGTTGAATCTGGGGGCTCCATCTCAGTATGCCCACGGGCTCCCCTCACAACCTATCGATTCAACAAGCGAAAACAGAGGAAACGAGCTGAGATCTACGGGGCCGAGAGAGGAACGGGAGGGGGACTAGGGTTTTCACTCACCATTTTTTGAGGACGAAGGCTCCGCCGCCGTTGAGAATGAGGGCTCCGCCGCCGCCGTTGAGAACGCAAGATCCGCCGCCACCGGAGAAGAAGGGGGGAGGGGGCAGAGTGGCGGGTCCGGCACGGTCGGGCGGCAGGGCACGGTCAGCTGTTTTGAGGAGCAATTAAGTTGGACCCACATGTCCTAACATAAACGGGCTTGGTTGACGACCAATTTAACCACATTTAACACCCCATGTGGCCCTGGGCTATTTACCTGCTTAAATGTGTCGCACCACAGCCATTCGCTCGAACAACGTCGCACTCAAGCAAATTCACATCAAACACGTCGCACAGGAGCTATTGGCCCCTAACAATTAATGCAAACAGTAAACATACAACAAGTACTTTGAAGTAGCATGAAAACGAGAACAACATTCACATATGACGACATGCACGTGGAATTCTGTAGATTGACATGCATCAGCCTGTCAGCAAGCTGGACCACATCTGGTGACAACTCCATGCTATCGAAACAGCAACCACTCTGAACTCATAAAAGCTGATCTGTTGGCGACTCCACTTGAATCTGGACAAACAAAAGGACAGAAGTTTAGATACCAGAGAAGAAACTTGGGTCCAACTTGTACACATATTTGAGATCTTACGACCTATTAAACGAACAAATTATATGCGCTTATGTAGTAGTACTCCCTCCAATCCAAAATAAGTGCTCTTAGCTCAAATTTGAACGCTTATCTTGGATCGGAGGGAGTATCTCATTGCTATAGTGCTCTTAGCTGAATTTGAAATGTGTCACTGCAAAACACTCAGTTCAGTGTGCTTAGCCTTGTAATTTGAAACACAGGTTGGAATACATAGCCAAACAGAGGCACGCCAACATAATAAAGGAAACGATTTGTGAAAAACTTGAGTCACGCAGAATTGGTACATTCATGTTCCAGGAGTTCATATGCTACGTAGGCACCTAGCACTAGCAGTATAACAAAATTCAACTTTAAAAATGAAAGAAACTGGTGTGTATTGGTAGCAAGAACCAACACACTAGGTGCCGTCTGCCATCGATCCCAGTACAAAAGGGATTCACAGAAAGGAAACAAATACAAGATTCATCTCGTTGAACTGCTAATGCACAAGCACCTGAAACCACCTCAGGACAGCAAAGTTTTCAGAGTCTTGGTGTGACGTTTTACCAGGGAGCTGACTGTTGGCGTGAGGAACTCCTAATTCAAGTAAGTAGCTTGTTTTTTTAGCTGATAAATCAAATGACCATACGACTTTCCCTATTGTTTTACTTAGAAATAAGAATGATGATGGTGGTGCTAACAGCAGGATTGTGAATATGTTTTCACGACAAAGTACTATTTTCCCTTGCTTTTACTTTACACACCAACCATTTGCTTTTCAGGTTTCTCGGAAAAATAGGCTGTTGTGCCTCCAAGGGAAAGTTTAAGTCAATCATCTCACCCATATGATCTGCTTTAAAATTCAGGAGAACTACCATGACACGAGGATCTAAAAGTGGTCGAGATTGACTGAAATAACAAGAATTTTGGTTGCCTGTGCAGTAATAAGCACTCCCTTGAGGTTGATTTCAGATAAAAGTCAAAGTTTTAAATAGCGCGCTAAGCATCTTAGCGCCGGACCTCTTTCAAATGCTATAGCGTGCTATAGCGGAGCTATAGCGCGCTATTTAAAATGTTTGTTCATTTGTTTGGACCAAAATCTCTTAGCGCAAGACCTTTTGTAAACGCTATAGCGTGCTATAGCGGAGCTATAGCGGGCTATTTGAAACAGTGGATAAAACAGCTTGTGACCATAAGCTATTTTTTGTATTTAAAACAGTAACTCAGAATCTGGTTTCTGACCGTACCAAATTATGCAGATTTCTAAATAACATCACGACTTAAAATTAATATATTATACATGTGAAGATGATTAAAAGGAAACTTTTCTCCCTACTTATATATCTATCAAAGGAATACTAATGTACAAAATGAGTTGTCCTTGACTTTAATGAATTTTCTTGAGGTGAAACAATCCAAGGTAAACTGGATCCAAACTTGTATTCCTTCTATGTTACATTAGAAATAAGTATCATGATGTAGTGTTTTTTATGGCTCCATCAGGACTCGTGCATAAGCTACTCACAGTGTCCAAGATATTATTTTCTTACCAACCTCGTTCAATTAAAATGCCAGTTGGAACGAACAAGATAACAGAACACAAATATGCTCTCAAGCATGCTTAGCTTTCCCACACACACACAAGCAAACAAATATTAACAAATCATGTCAGCAAGAATAATCAATTGCAATAATGAACAATCAAGAATTAGGTAAGCTGTGCGATAATTACAAAGGTTAGGAGATAACAAGGATGTAATAGAAATTTTACCACTTCATACTGTCCGTGGAGGTGACAACGATGGTGGAAAGTTGGTATATATCCCGGTTTGAAAAAAGTAGGCATATATGCTTGACGTGGGTAGCCTGAGCTTGAACCGTTTCGCACAAACCCTCTGAAGCTGCAATGTCTCCATGTCCATTGTGAAATACTCAAGGAGTGGCTTCTCTATAGGTGAACCTGGCAGGGATTCTGTTCTCATCAATAGCAAACACCTCTCTGTTACAGCTTTGATAAAATAATGGTACCCAGAATCTAGTGAGATTGTCTTCTCCATCAGCCACTGGTTGGGACTCTCACCACTGTTATGCACAATGGCATAACTGAGATCAGATGCAGCGAACATAGTGGGGGCGAGGCTCCACATCCTCGCCTTTCAAGCTGCGGAGAAAAGGAGAATAGTTGTCTCCCTTATCGCCTTTCGAGCGGTGGTTGAAGACGTCATATGTGATCCAAAGGATTTTGACGGGCAGCTATGGACCTAGGTCAACAAGCACGATATGATACAAAACGTACAAATATACAACGCAATGACCATAAGTTTTGTTGTTATAATAACTCTTATTATAGTACTATGAAACCGCGCTCAGCAATAATAAGCAGCCGGCTCCAGCTCTATGCTGCTTACGGTATAGTGCTTCAGTGCTTGTCTTGGGTTGACCACTTGTTAGATTTTCCTTGTTATAATTGGTCTAACTAGTTTCTAGAGAGGTCACTTGATAAATATGGAGTACATCAGTTAGCATTACCATGGGTGCTGATTGATACGAACCCTTAATTTCATTGTGACAATCTTATAGTCATGGAACAGCCACACCACTGTTTAGCATCAGAGGAAGAAAAACATAGACATTATCATTGCAAAGTGAAGCCCTGTAGATTATCGTGTGTGTCTTGTAAGCAAGCAAAGCTATCATAGGTGGGAGAAATGCTGGTCAGGTTACAGCTCCATCAAATCTGAAGAAAAGGGGACAAAAGATGAGACAACCGAGAAAATTTTCCACCCACTTTGTGCATATTCAAGATTTCACAAGGAACAAATTATCGGTACAGCAGCAACAACAAAGAACTGAGTCCCTCCAGCTGCAGGTTGGTGCTGCTTATATTGTTCTTGCGTTGGTTATCAGTTCCGTTGTGACCGTTTTGCCACTAGTCAGATTGTACCTGTTATAGCAACTCTAACTAATAATTAAGAAAAAAAAAATCTGACTTGAATATACACAACAGCTATCTTTTAACACAGCTGTCAATTTATAGGAGCTCGTAGTTTCGATGTCACGTTCTTAGACAGTGAAGGTCCACATTGATGTTACACTTAATTAACCCAAACATAGATATGACCACCGCCAGTTGAAGCAATGTAGATCGTGTTGTCTTGTAGGCAAGGCGATCACGTTCATGAGAACCCCAAGTTATTGAAATCACTGTTACTTCGAATTAGCAATGCCGATCTGATTACGTACGGCTCCATCGAACCTGAACAGATAAGATACAAGTTTAGGCACCAAAGAAGAATCTTGCAGAGTAGCATTGCCACACTGGTAATATTAGTCTCAACAAAATCTGAAATGTGTGACTGCAAACACTCGCTTCAGTGTGCTTAGATTGGAATTTGCAATACAAGTTGGAATGCATAGCCAGACATAGATGATGGAGTCATGAACCTAGGGTAGGGTCATAGACCTGATCTAAGTACCCTACCCAAGGACACCCTTAGAAGAGACTACTTTCCAGTCGACCAAGAGAGACTTCACTTGACTGACTCGAAGGACTCGACCACGAAGACTCACTCGACCACCAACGGCTAGACTTAATGTACTTTAAACCCCGCATTACTGAGGGCCGGAGGGGTCTGGCAGGCACTATATAAGCCACCCCCCACCTCAGTGTAAAGGGTTGGCACCTCTGTAATCCATATACACATAATCCACTCGACCGCCTCCGGGCTCCGAGACGTAGGGCTATTACTTCCTCCGAGAAGGGCCCGAACTCGTACATCTCTTGTGCGTACAACTGCTCCATAGCTAGGACCTTGCCTCTCCATACATACCCCCCACTCTACTGCCAGACTTAGAACCACGACAGTTGGCGCCCACCATGGGGCCGGTGTCTTAGCGATTTTTGGAGAAGTTGCAAGTCTTCCGACTACTTTCATCATGGTTGTTGGTGGAGCTTTGGTCGAGAGTCTTGAGATCCGTCTCGGCGCTCTCACCCTCGTCGCCGACGACTCCGCTTGGCTCCAGGAGGCTCCACTTGACGTTGATGCGCTCCCCGTTCGTGGTGCGACGCATTTTCGCACGTGTGTCCGCGGCGTTCTGCTGCGGCAACCGTCGACTCCATATCGGTCGACTCCCCTATCGATCACCCTCCCGGTCTCCCGCCAGCGCAAGCGCTCTGGTCGGTCGAGACTCCAGCGGTGGGTAAGGCACGCGGTGGCACGCCAGGCGGCCACCACCCAAGTTGCGGCAATCGAGCCCGACGAATCTCTCTACGGCCTGTTCGATCTGTCGACTGGCTCCGTAGAGACTGCATCCGAGTGTGATAGCAGTGATCCAGCGGTGGAGGTCTTGATGGTCAATGGACCTCGCAGCCCTCCCGGTTTCCCTCGTGAGGACGGAGTAGACGGTGGAGGCGACCCCGCTCAAGTTCATGAAGAGTACCAGCCCGAGCCACTTGATTCCCTGCAAAGGGAAGAACTTCCCCGTAGGAACATGGATGCCCTGTATACTCCCATCGCGGGAGAAACCCCCGAGGCTCACGCCCTGGAGGAGGCACGTTTGGCCAACTTGGCTGAACGCGCTCGTCTGGAGAACCTTCAGCGAGCACTCGACGAGCGCGCGCGGCAACGAGTTCCCGACGCCAATCGACGTCAACTCTTCCCGCCGACTCAGGTATATTGAACCCCGATTCAGAATTTAGCAGCTGCAACCCGTATAGCAGAGTCCATCCAGCCCTCTCAGTCGGAAGCTGGCAGAGGCTTGATGCAGATCAGAGATTTGCTCCGGGCAGCAGGAGATCAGAATTCAGCCGTGTCGCAGTCACGCAACAGAATTCACAGTCGATCCGTCGCTGCGAATACGGTTCAGTCGGCTCACAGTCCCAGATCGCCTCCGCGGCGTGAAGGACGCGAGAATCGGCGAGACCAGTATGGTGACCGACATGATCGTGATGATAGGCATCGAGTGCCCACTCCCCCCCCCCCGAGGGGTGGGTCTTACGCTCCTCGGCAGCAGGATGACAGGCGTCAACTCAGTGTGGGGCGAAGAGCTCCAGTCGACCCCCGGGAACTAGGCTTCGACGCGCGATCCATCATCGTACAAGGCTTGGTCGACCGAAACAGAGCCCATCGGGGCGGCCCCGACAGAGATGCACCCACAAGCAGTCGAGTGCATGTTTCTGGTCCAGAATGTTTCAGCAGGGCTATCAGAGCCGCGGTGATTCCCCCCAACTTCAGGTTGGCAACTGGAGTAAGCAAGTTCACTGGTGAGTCTAAGCCTGAAACCTGGCTTGAGGACTACCGAGTGGCGGTTCAGATTGGTGGCGGGAATGACGAGGTGGCCATGAAGCATTTGCCCCTCATGTTGGAAGGTTCTGCCAGAGCATGGTTGAATCAGTTACCTCCAAGCAGCATTTACACTTGGGAAGATCTGTCCCGAGTGTTCGTCAGAACATTTGAAGGAACTTGCAAGCGGCCAGCTGGATTGACAGAACTGCAAGTCTGTGTGCAGAAGACGAATGAGACTCTCAGAGAGTATATTCAGAGATGGATCACTTTGCATCATACCGTGGAGAACGTGTCTGATCATCAGGCAGTCTGCGCCTTCAAGGATGGTGTTAAGAACAGAGAATTGAGTTTGAAGTTTGGTCGAACCGGAGACATGACCCTGAGTCGGATGATGGAGATTGCTACCAAATATGCCAACGGCGAAGAGGAAGACCGACTCCGAAGCGGCAAGTACAAGCCGAGCCAGTCGGAGAAGGGAAACACCAGTCGGAAGCAGAAGCGGAAGGCTGAACCAGCAGCTCCTGGAGAGGCTCTGGCCGTGACTCGGGGCAAGTTCAAAGGGAAACCCAAAGGATCCTGAAACCCCAAGAAGGTGAAGGATAAAGAAGGAAATGACGTGATGGATATGCCGTGTCACATCCACACAAAGAAAGATGAAGAGGGTAATATCATCTACCCGAAGCATACCACTCGCCAGTGTCGACTCATGATCCAGCAGTTCCAAGGAAAACAGTCCAAGGACAAGGAAAAGGAGTCAGACAAGGTCGAAGACAAGGAGGACAGTGAGGGAGGATATCCACATGTCAACTCCACTCTGATGATTTTCGCGGATGTGAAAAGCAAGAGCCGACTGAAGGTCATTAATCGTGAGGTGAACATGGTTGCCCCGGCGAAACCAAGTTATCTGAGATGGTCCCAAACGCCCATCACATTCGACCAGTCTGATCACCCGACTCATATTGCCACCCCTGGGAGGCAAGCTTTGGTGGTCGACCCGGTTGTCGAAGGCACTCGGCTGACGAAGGTGCTGATGGACGATGGTAGCGGACTGAATTTATTGTATGCAGACACGCTGAAGGGAATGGGCATTCTGATGTCCCGACTGAGCACCAGTAACATGAGCTTTCATGGAGTTATACCAGGAAAGAAAGCCGAGTCACTCGGTCAAATAGCTCTGGACGTGGTGTTTGGTGATTCAAAGCATTTTCGCAAGGAGAAGCTGACGTTTGAGGTCATGGATTTTCAGAGCGCGTACCACGCTATTTTGGGGAGACCAGCTTACACACGGTTCATGGCTCGGCCATGTTACGTTTACCTCAAACTGAAGATGCCCGGCCCCAAAGGAGTGATCACTATCACTGGTGATCGGAAAAAGGCAGAAGAGTGTTTCCAGAAAGGCTCAAAGATTGCCGATTCCCAGGTGACAGCGGTCGAGTTTGAAGAATATAAGCAAAATGCAGATCCGAGTGATTTGCTGCGATCCAAGAAGCCCGCCACAGAGTCTGCATTTCAGTCGTCCGGTGAGACGAAGCCTGTCCACATTCACCCGACTGACCCCAATGCAGCCCCGACCCACATCTCCACAACACTCGACCCGAAATAGGAAGAAGCGCTCATCCAGTTCCTCCGTGAGAACTGAGACATTTTTGCATGGAAGCCAGCTGCCATGCCGGGTGTTCCCAGGGGACTGGCTGAGCATCATCTTAGAGTCGACTCAGCAGCAAAACCAGTTAAAGAACATCTTCGGCAGTCCGCTGTCCAGAAGAGAAAAGCTATTGGTGAGGAAGTGGCTCGACTATTGGCGGCAGGATTTATCCGAGAGAT